TGTTATTTTCTCAGGGTATGAAGCACTGAACATTTTTTCACAAACTTTTCAGCGAATATTTTTAAATCTGAGAGTACTGATCATAAAAAATTCAATGAAAAATTCACAAGAAAACGAAAAAAATCGCATTTTTCTTCTCGCTACCAAATTAAACCGTAAATGTATATTTTAAAGAAGCCGAGATACATATGGACCGCGTTAAACAGAAAGGAACCAAGCCACAGCAGCTATTGCCAATTTTAGTCGAGCAATTCAATCTTTTGCATGAAAACGGTTGTGCAGATTTTCTCGGAAATTTCCAAAGTCCAAAGCTAATTCCTTAAAATTTTCAGAAGAATCCGTAAAAACGTTCTATTGTAAAAAATAGAATTGCCCTCATAAATTTAGCATTAGCTGACGTCGCTTAGTTCCTTTCTGTAAAACGCGGTCCATATGGCCATTCACCATACGTGGTTTTAACGACCGCATGTCAGTTAGCACGAGCAACACTTTATCGATGAGTGAGATCAAGGAATGAGTATCATAATTGCGACGTTTAAAAATAATCGATTATAGTTTACGTTTTAAAGAAAAAACCAACCGAAATTTCTTCATAAATTTTTCTGTTCATATTTCGATAGTCTCACCATTGACACGTATCGTCGTTTTCTCTGATCGCGACAAAAAGGTATTTTTCTGGAGGAGGCCCTGCCCTCTCCGTGTTCAAATTATTTTAAAATTGACTAATTTTACACGAAATTTGACAGCGCGGCTCAAAAAGCCGTTTCGGTCGACCAGTAATCCACGCGCAATTAGCTCAACGATCCACAATCAACTCTAATCGAGTTAAAATCCTTCCCGTTCCGCATTGCGCACCGAAGTTGAAAGATTGCGAGGAATTCGGGAAATTTGCCCGGGTCGTGAAGTGAAATGAGAGCCAGCACTTTGCGTGCTAACGATGACGTTTGCAAATATGACAGTCCCTGTTTTAAAAAAAAAAAAAAACTTCAATGATTACAAAAAACTTTTTGTCATTGTCGCTATAAACGAAGAGTTTTCAACGACCATCTCGGAACTAAAGACGCCCAAAACTTGTTTTTCAAACCAATTTTTGATACAGTTTTAAATTTGAAGTTCGAAGATGGATAAGAAGTAAAAGAAAGAATCGTTTCTGAGATGAAAAAATTGTGACTCTTAATGTAGTAAGGAATCTTACTGCAGAAAAATATCGAGATTGAGCTTTGAGGACTGATGCTTGATTTGATACAGGATGATTTTTCCAAGAGAGTATCGTAACTTTTTGAGTTTTTTCTTCATTTGTAATTTTGCTATGATATCAATGCTATGATAATCATTTCGAATAGAAAGTCATACCTAATCCTTACACACTGTCGCAAAATCACGATCACCAGAGGGAGACTCCATTTTTAAAAAGCAAATTTAAGACAGTTTCTATTCAATTTGCGGCGGATAAGTTTACCATAAATTTAATTTTTGGATTGGCTCAAGAAACACAGCAAGCTATAGAGGCAAAACTTCGCCAAGATTATTAATGCCGTGCTTAAAAGAAACGCCGTATGAGCCTTCAAGCGTTGCCAAATCTCCTTTGATAAATCACGAATTTTTTTAAATATTTATAAACATTTTTCTTCCGATTTTTCAAAGAATTTTTTTCGTAATTTGATCCAAATGGTGAAAAAAGTTTGAAGGAAAATATTGATAACTTTCCTTAACAATAAACATTTTATCGGCGGAAAGTTGGCAACTCTCGAATGATTATACGGCGTTCTTCCTCGGCACGACAGAATAGTTCATCGTTTAAAGTACCGTCTCGAACGAGCTTGAAGACCGCGAACGTTTGTGTGATGCGGGCACGATGCTACGGCGCAGAGATGCGACTATTCGTGCTTGACGGATGTCCGGATTGCATAGCGAAAAATTGAAGGCGCTCTATCCGACAACAAGCGTGTGATGCTGCTCGCTCCATACATCGGTTGCCGTCGGTGGCGAAAGATCTGGGCTCTGATGTGCGAAGGTTCACTGTACCGTCGTGCTAAGGAAAAACGCCGTTTGAACATTCGAGTGTTGCCAAATTTCTTTCATTAAAATACCTGCTTTAAAGAAAATATGTGAATATTTTCCCTTTAGATTTTAAGATAATTTAGATCGCATTTCAATTAAAATTCTCTGAAAAATTGGGAGACAAATACTCGGAGAGTTTCCTGTGAATTCGAATTTCATCAAAAACCAATTTGGCAACGCCTGGAGGTTCATATGGCGTCTTTCTTTATCACTGCACAATAAAGTTCGGGTGCTTTATGTAAAATTTTAAGGTTCTCAAATTGGGCTCATTGATTTTCTCGGAAAATTCTCCTCTAAAAGCACCCGTTGAAAGAGCCATGCACAAAAAGGGCCAAAAACGGCCCATTGTTGGGCCCTCGAAATTGGGGTCGAAGTGAGGTTTTTTTTCATCCTTAGGGTGACCCTTTACACATACTAAAATTTCAGATTGAGTATACGCACCGTTTTCGAGTTATGGGGGGGCAAAGTCCCCGATTTTCACCCATTTTTGCAGGTGTTTTAATGTCGAACTCCGGCTGTTACGAGGTACCAGATCTAGATATTGAAGCGCGGTTTGCGGTGATTTGTTCTGCTATTCCTGTAGTATTTTTCCACATCTTTCACAAAGCCCCAAATGGTTTTTCGGGGGGCGGGGAGGGGGGCTTTATTCATACTATCATGACAGTTAGCGCAACTTACTGACTTTACTTTGTTCTCTTCTCTCCACGCCGAGGTCACGATGGTATTTTCCGTTGGGGATTTTTCTTCTTCTTCACATTTTACCATTTTTCATGTCCTCCCCCTCTTTTCCCTTTTTTACTTCCTCCCCCGCAATCCAAACACTTCCTCTCAAGTGCTTCTTCCTGTAAGGCAGATACGACGGGGTCATAAATGGGGGATTCTTTTCCTTTCATTACGATTGATAAACTTTGACCCAACTTACTTCTCCCTTACAGGGCCCTCCTTACCCCTGTATTAACCCCCCCCCCTGCCCGCTCCACTTTACTTGAAGTATTTTCCTCCCTCCGCAGCAGAAATGACGATTTTTCCTGTGAAGAATTGTTTCTTATTCATATTTTTCACGTTTCTCTTTCCACTTCTATGTTTGATTTATTCTTTCCAAGGTGCATTCTCTTCCACTTTCTCTTCGCATGACCATATTACTCCCACAAAAAAGGAGTAAAAAGTAGAAGAAAAGTGAAAAGTAAAGAGAACAAGGCAAAAGAGGGACAAACAAGAGGGGAAGGGGAAGAGGAAGAAGAGGGGGAATAATGGAGAAGAGTAGGAGGGTGGCTCCCATGTATTCAGTATTTCAGTACCTGAACATAAGTAAAACATTATTTGCGAGAAACATTGTCATTTCTGCTGCGGAGGGAGCAATATACTTCGGAGCAGAGCGCGGCGTGGAGCAGGCAGGGGGGAGGGGATAATACAGGGGTAAGGAGGGCCCTGTAAGGGAGAAGTAAGTTGGGTCAAAGTTTATCAATCGTAATGAAAGGAAAAGAATCCCCCATTTATGACCCCGTCATATCTGCCTTACAGGAAGAAGCACTTGAGAGGAAGTGTTTGGATTGCGGGGGAGGGAGTAAAAAAGGGAAAAGAGGGGGAGGACATGAAAAATGGTAAAATGTGAAGAAGAAGAAAAATCCCCAACAGAAAATACCATCGTGACCGCGGCGTGGAGAGAAGAGAACAAAGTAAAGTCAGTAAGATGCGCTAACTGTCATGATAGTATGAATAAAGCCCCCCTCCCCGCCCCCGAAAAACCATTTGGGGCTTTGTGAAAGATGTGGAAAAATACTACAGGAATAGCAGAACAAATCACCGCAAACCGCGCTTCAATATCTAGATTTGGTACCTCGTAACAGCCGGAGTTCGACATTAAAACACCTGCAAAAATGGGTGAAAATCGGGGACTTTGCCCCCCCATAACTCGAAAACGGTGCGTATACTCAATCTGAAATTTTAGTATGTGTAAAGGGTCACCCTAAGGATGAAAAAAAACCTCACTTCGACCCCAATTTCGAGGGCCCAAAAATGGGCCACTTTGTGCATGGCTCTTTAGAATGTGTCGAAATAAACATCAAAATTTGCAGTTTTAGTCAAAAATTGCACGTCCAACCTCTCTAATTTACTAAATCCACTGTGCGACGTTTCAAATTTCCGCCGTCATTTTTTTCTTTATGGAAATATTTTTGGTTGAATTAGTTCGAATATTTCACTGAATTTTATCGGCAGCACTAAGAAAATTCAGGGAAATTTTCGATCAGCTTCGTTGAGCAATTTTTCTGTAGAAAAATAAAATTGCGGCGGAAATTTTGAAACGTTCGATGGCGCTTGTGATACTTCAGCCGGAAGGCTGTCACAAATTGATTTTCATTAGCCGTGTAATTTTTACCGTTGTGTTAATGGACTTGCTGTCGGTTCATTGCTTGTAAACTGTCATGTCACTGGAAAAAAAAGTCGTTTGGATCTAGAGTCCGAAAACTTTAAAACATTGACAAGAAAAAAACTCTTGATCAAATCGGATTTTTGCTTAAATCAACAAGGAAAAAAGTAAATTGCTGATTTAACAATTCAATTGCTAAACAAAGTGACTGCAATATTTCAACGTAGATTTTATAACGAAAAAGTGCTACATTAACGACTATTGTAAGCTAATTTTACTACTGGGGTGGTTAAAGTAGTATTTTTTGGTTGTAAAATCTACATTGAAACATTGCAGTCACATTTTGTCGCAATTGAATTGTTAAATCAGCAATTTAATTTTTTCCGTGAAGAACCAAGCCTTTTAATTTAAGCAGATTTCCTTTTGATTCAAGCGAGAACCCGATTGAATCAGGAGTATTTTTTCTTGTCATTGTTTTCAAGAGTCTGGACTCTAGATCCAACAGACTTTTTTTTCTAGTGAGAGGTGTTTGAAAATCTTTTTTTCATGAATCTTGTGAAATGTGTTGCAGCTGCACGGGTTGCGGCACGAGAACCTGAACCCGTTGATCGGGTGCTTGACGGATCCTTGTCGGCCGGCGCTCGTCTGGGACTGGTGCAGCCGAGGAAGCCTCGAGGACGTCCTTATCCAGGACGAAATCAAACTCGATTGGACCTTCCGTCTCTCCCTCCTCACCGATCTCGTCAGGGTAAGTCCTCTCAATCATTCCTTCCATCGGGGCTAGATTAGCGCTTAGGGGCCCGAGGCGCTCGCTGGTACTACACTGAAAAAAAAAATCTCGGTGTATTTACTAAGGAAAGGGTAAAATTACCAAGAATTCAGGGTTCTACTTGATCCCAGTTTTTTCTTGGTAAAATTACCATTTATGGAATAGGTAATTTCACCGAGTAATCTCGGTACAATTATTGAACTTTCTAGGTAATTTTACTGGACCTCGGTAAAAACGCCAATATTTCTTATCGACTGTGATAGAATTACCGAGATAAAATGGCAAAGTTACCGGGAATTGATTACCAATAAAAGTGGTATTCTTACCTGAAAAAAAAACAGTAAAAATACCGATTTTTAGGTGAGCTTGTCAGTCTGTCTTGGTAAAATTACCAATAATTGGTAAAAAAAGCGAGATGGTAAAGGTACCAACGGACCTTGGTAAAAACGCCGAGACTTTTTTTTCAGTGTAGAGTCCCTTTATACTGAGAGTTAAGACAGTGTGAATCTATTTCTGATTGGTTCCCGTATTTTAGGCTTCCACAGTGTCACAAACGGGAATAAAGATTACATTTTTACCAATTGCAAAGATTATAATCTGGAATGGACCGGGAGATTACGGGTTTGGTAAGGAGCAAACGGAATGAGAGATGGAACGGAGAAAGGAATTTGAGAATGGGCCGATCAAAGATTACGAAAATATTTCAATTTGTGTAATCTTTTTCCCCTTTGTGACTCGATGAGGAAGGTTGTCTTAACTCTCAGTATAAGAGGTTTCTAGCGGGTACTAGGGCCCACACATCGTGGGTTGCTGGTTGCATACTTCGTAAGTTGAAGGCGGTTTACGTTTCCAAGAAAACGACAAGTCCCGGTAGAGTCCCTTTATACTGAGAGTAAAGACAAAAAGAATCCATTTCTGATTGGTTCCCGTATTTTAGGCCTCCACAGTGTCACAAACGGGAATTTAGATCACATTTTCATCGATTGCAAAGATTATAAACTGGAATGGACCGGGATATTAGAGACAAGGCAAGGAGCAAACGGAATGACAGAGGGAACGGAGACAGGAATTCGGGAATGAAAAGAGAAAAGATTACGAAAAACGTTCAATTTGTGTAATCTTTGTTCCCGTTTGTAACATCCGTGAGCCTTGTTGTCTCAACTCTCCTTATAAAGGGACTCTAGGTCCAAGGTACCCATCTTTGGGGATTGGCGTGCTTTGCGATATATCAATTGTTCTACCGATGGAAAAGGATCGATAAACAAGGTGTTCGTTGCGAACACCTTAACAATCGATTATTAACCATAGCTTCAAATGTGTGAACATCGATAATCGATTATTCATGACTCGCCACTGCTCTTGGTCCCGGGAGCTCAAAAAATACTAATTTAAGAGCCTTGAGGCCCCTTTGAGAAGAGTTGTGGTTTTTGAGGGGTCATGCAAATTATAATCCTGAAGTCCATCAAAATTTCCGTCTCAGATTCTCCGAAAGTCCGGTTTTACAGATGAACAGAAACATGAGTCAGGATGCTCTAGTTCGCACCTTGTCTAGTGATCTATTTAGACAGAAACGTAACAGAATCTCTAGACTCATCGAGAATCAATGAGTCAATGTAAGACAATCAATGAAGAAGGGGGAAAATACTTCTACCGACGTGCTAACATGGTTTCAAAATATGCAATCGAAATATGTCGAGTTTACCGGTGGGAAACCAAAGAGTAACTATTCGAACGTCTGGGGTGTCATTTAGCCTATAACGCCGTTTTTAAGACGAGGAGAGTTGCCAATACACAGTGCAGTGGCGTAGCGTGAATTGCGATGTATCGATTGTTCTGCCATTTAAACCTATGGTAAAGAATCGATTACCAAGGTGTTCGCTGCGAACACCCTGTTTATCGATCCTTTTTCATAGATTTAAATGGAATAACAATCAATATATCGCAAAGCATTGCACAGAAGATTTGATTACCGTAGACGTCAGGATTGCAAGCGGGATCACTCTTATAAAGCATAGATCGACGTTGAGAGACAAACATTTAACCTTCGCAGTGACGTTCAGCGGTCTAAGGCGCCTCACACTTCGTAGCCCTGCTGGCAAAAGGACGTATCTGTACATAAAGATGAGCCCGGAAAAGCATTACTTTGTATGGACGATAGGGTTCATGGTTGATTGTGGTTACGCTTTTATGTCAGGGTGGCGACGACTTAATCTAAAGTCAGTCCCGCGCGTCAATCTCACTCCTTCTGTTTCTGACTCGAATAATTCCATCGGTGCGTCAACGGCGAGACTCAATTCCACCGTGCTAAGCAAGAACGCCGTAAAAGCTTACAAACGTTGCCAAATTTCCCAGACTTATATTTATATTTTAGAGAGCTGTATGGGCCGCGTTAAACAGAAAGGAACCAAGCCACATCAGCTGTTGCCAAATTTAACAGGGAAATTTCATTTTTTACGAAAGAACGTCTGCGCAGATTCCTTTGAAAATTTTAAGGAATTTGCCTTGTAGTATGGAGAAAATTCACTAAAATTTGCACAAAAATCCGCACAACCATTTTCATGTAAAAAATTAAAATGCCCGATTAAATTTGGCAATAGCTAATGTGGCTTGGTTCCTTTCTGTTTAACGGGGTCCATTTAACAGTTATATTCTCTTCGGAATTTTTCCATGTTCCTCAGGTTTTCAGGTATGGTAGATTAACCTGCCATCAAAATTCTACGAAGAAATCTCGAGACGAATTTTTACCAATTTTTCACTCAGTTTCTATTTTATCCATGGAAATTTGGCAACGTTCAAATGTTCATACGACGTTCCTCCTTAGCACTGCGGGCCAGAGCGCCCTCAAATAAAGACGATGCAGAAGTGACTGCTTGAATTCTAGGAATTTACATGCTCTCGTGCCCGAACAAACTCCAAGTCGAAACACCCGTGTTCCCTCCTCACCGCGTAAAAACCACTTATCTCGCACGAAGGACCTATGTGCATACGCGGTTTTGGCCGAACTAGGCGTCGTTGAAGAGGGTATTACCGCCACCGCCGCTGGGATCGGAGTCACTCGCGATTATTCAAATAAAGCGTCGAGGGTGAGGACTAGGAACGGAATTAGGGGGAGGTGACGGAGGGGGGGGGTGCATAATGCAACCTCGAATCGAATTTGCTTGAAATCCTGGCATTGAGGTCTTTCGCACGCGGCTCCGGGTCTTTCGCTGATCGCGCGAGTCGAGTCGTAAGTTTACACGTGGATTTTGTCGGCGACGGATATTCGGAATGTGTCCGTTTTCTTCCAGTTGTAAGAGTATTCTGCCACGCCATGGATAATGCTCAATGTTGCCAAATTTTCTGTCATGAGATACCTTATTTTACAACGGTTACCTGGATCCGGCTTGATTATGGATGGTAAAGCGTGGGGTATATTTCTCGTGGGATATTTGAAGTGTAAGAAAAAAATAAATTGTGTGGATATTTCGTCATCAGTGTTCGAAACTCGCCTTTGAGTTTTAGGAGCCATGTGGCGCATCAAGCCCGATTTTTAGGCGCCATTGAAGATTTTTTAGGGGCCAAATTGACTTTTTGCCTACAGATTATGGCGCATTTAGTGAAAAGTTAGACGCAAGATGTTATCGTAACAGAACTAGTAAGAAGCTGTTTGGCGAAGACAAAAGCTTAAAGGACGAAATTGTGAGGAATAAAAAAAGCTTTCACTTGTAAAGCTGAAAATTTCAAATGATCACCTATCATGAAAATTCCGATTTTTAGGAGGCAATTTTTAAGGGCCACTTTGGAGCTGCAGAGCCTTCATTTTTTAGGCGGCATGGCCGATTTTTTAGGCGCATTTGGCGCGTTGGCGCCTGTGAGTTTCGAACACTGTTCGTCACATAGTCCAAGCACGATGTGATTTAGTAAAAAAAATTGCGAGCCGGGCAGTTTTTGTTTTTTTGGGTTCAGTCAGGTCCCCTGATTCCCAAAAAATATTCCGCAAGATTTGGAGATGAGCTTTCCAATTTGGGCACGGGGGGGAGGGCTTTAGAATGGTGCCGAATTTCCTCTCATAAGTTACCTATTTTTGTTAAAAAGAAAAACAAGTAGTTTCAAGACAGCGGCTTTCAGTAAATTGATTTCGAAAATGAACTGAAAATTAATACGTACCTTGATCGCAAAGAAAAGAATACTTTGGAAAAGCCGATATAGCATTTTCAGCCACGTCTACTATCTTAGATTTTAGAATTTTAAAGATTTCACTTAAAATTCGAGTCTCTCGATAAAAAATACCCTCTGTTACTGAGTTTCATGAGAAACGATCGACAGACAGGTTTTCCTTCAGGTGAGCCTCCTTCGTTGGCCACAGTAATGATGCTAATTCTTTCTTTTTAAAACAATTGAGGCTCAAATTTTGGTCACAGGTAATAATGGACATAAAATATGCGTGGTAACTTGAGATATAGCAGTCAACAGGTTGATATGCTTCATTTGGTAGCTAGCAACTCACTCGAGTTGGGTTCCAACCTAAGAATACAACTATATCAACTTCGGTGTGTTGCACAGTATCACACGCAATTGAAGGCGTTTTATATGTCCCGACCGCGACCTACAGAGAGTGGAGTCTTGATGTGTTAACTTGGAGTACTGTTTGCGCTGCGTACGTCAAATGCTTAGTTACGATTAATTTACATTATTAGTGTTACTAAGAGCCTAAAATGGCATTTTGAGTTAAAATAAAGTATTCAACTGCATTTTAAACAAATGTTGAAAGTCAGATTTTTATGTATGCCGAGAAGTTCTTTTTTCATGTCAATAAGGACTTTCTCCTTCAAAAAATACTCTGTGACGCCGAGTTGCACATAAATCGATCGAAGAGGAGCCAATATTGTATTTTACACCACATTCGCTGTAATTCAAAATTGCAGCTTTTGCATTAAGCCCCCTGTACCATACCTTGCACGTGGAGAATGCGGATTTCATTGGGAACGGATATTCGTAAA